TGAGAGTTTCTTGGGGGACACAAAGGGGCGCTGATCTCAGCCCAGGAAGAGAAGGTCTCTTGGCTATGCACTGGAACCTGTTCCGGTCTGGGAGTCGATAAACATCCGGGCTCTTCTTCTGTGAGTTCCAACTGTTGGGAACAGCATAGGAAAGACAGTAGGGATTATAGTGTATATATTGGGGTAATATAGGAATAATGGAAAATAGAATGGAAACTACTATATTGGGGTCATTATGTTGAAGAGCCAAGGAGGGTGCAAGTGTCTCCGTTAGTGTTCTTCATTTGCACATGGGCCATGCAGGGAAGTCCTATACGTCTAGCCATGGCTTCTTCACTTCTACGCCAGCTCTTTAGCGCTAAGCAGCGAACGTACACTAGTGATCACTTGTCTAAATTCTAAACCATCAACCCTATGTAGTAGTTTCCATTTCATTTTCCATTATTCCTACTTTGCCCCAGTATACACCCTATAATCCCTATATAGTCCCTATTTCATACCCACACCTCGCAGGATCCCTACATACCAAGTAAAGCGGGCAAACTTCTAGATTCGCTTCCTTTATGGCCCTCTGAGCATCCTCCTTCTAGGATCCGAAGGAAGGCTGACACAACTCCATTCTGTACATGGCAAGTTTGAGAAATTTACTTGCATGTCCCATAAGTAGTCTGCAGCCCTCAGCCCCCAACCCTTAACTTTCAGACCCATAATCCCGGATTTCACGTTGATTTTCTAGCAGGTAGTTTCTCAAGATCTTTCCAGCCTATTCCTGATGAGGCTCAAAGGTACCTCTAATTTAAGAAGTCCCTAAAGCCCGAAACCTCAAATCCGAGGCCTCCCAGAAGCCTAAACTCCCCAAACCCAACAGCAGAAACCTAATCCTTCAAAACCTTCCCTAAGCCCTCTAAACCCTAAACCCTAACGCTTCTAAACCTTAAACCCTAAGCCCTAAACCCTAAACCCTAACCCTTCAAAACCTTAAACCCTAAGCCCTAAACCCTAAACCCTAACCCTTCTAAACCTTAAACCCTAAGCCCTAAGCCTCCTAAACCCTAAACCCTAAGCCCTCTAAACCTTAAAGCCATCAGGAGAGCATCCCGGTGGCAAGCCACCGGACCTCACAGCACTGGGTTTGGAACGTCTGACGCCTGGGCAGCAGAGAGACTTCGGTTTTTTTGGTTGGGACAGGGACATGGATATTGGGGTGTTATAGGGGTCATGGAAAAGAAAATGGAGACTACTGTAATGGGGGTTATATAGGATTTAGGATCTAGGGTTTCCAAACATCAGCGATCCCTTATGGGGTTGGTTGAAATAATAAGGACCGGATTTTTTTTGGGCTTACGTTGGGTCCCCCAGTGCTGGCGTCCTCTAGCAGATGAGAATATTGGTGCCCAAAGCCAAATTTGCAGCTGAGTATCGATTCGAAGGCCTCCCGTGGCCCTTCAGCTAAGACAATGCATGACAGCTTTACGACACTGCAGATTGTTTGGTGAATGAACTCTTCCAAATCACCAGAACCTCAACTTGGAAAGACAAAGCTAGGTTCTACCCAAGGACTAGCCCCGTAATGATGCAAAGCTCATGCAGACTGAAGAGATTCTCAGGGCTCCTCCTACGGTACTTGAGAGGAACCTCAGGCCCACATTGCACTTCATGTATAAGTGACGCGTTGGCGAGGATTCCCTCCCCATCAAATCAAACGGCATGCGAATTTCCCAAAAAACGGTACGTTTTGATATTCTCACAAGCAGAGGAAAAGCCGAGAGGTCCACTTGAGGACTATGCCCAGGTATTTTCCATGTCCTTCTTGCCGACATGAAACTACCCGATGCAAACCCTAAACCCTTGCCATCTGGCCCAGGAAGGACGAGGTGCTGCCACTGAGTCCCTTGGGCAGTCTGGGGGTGTCCTCAAGCCTTGGGTCCCCTATATGCCACGCAAAGAAGGCTTCCTTATTTCAAAAGCAGTTTGTCTTGAGAACAGATAGTTTGGGACCAGGGATTTCCTCTGAAGGGCTTGTTGAGGAATGTCAGGGATAAGCTGGAAGTATGGGCTTGGAGGTCGAGCCTCAAAAAGCACAGCCTCAAGCCCGACAATCGTCTATCACATGAGCCAGGTTATCGTCTCAGTTAGACGCCTCAGCAACTACCAATGCCATTCCATTAGAATCGTTGTATCTCTATAGTAGAAAATGCTCTGCTTCAGAAAGAAGCTTTTGTTTTTAAAGCGCTCATCTTTTCCTTGTGGGGCGGTGCACTTGCCAGTTCCTCTTTCAGGAATTCAAACCCCTAAGCCCCAACCGCCCAAGCCTACAACCTAATGACGCCCCTAAACCCTAAATGCCACGCACCTTCACAATGTGAAGCCCCTCATGTCATGCGGTCATGCGGGGAATTCGAAAGCAAGGGCCCCAAGAACGCGAAATTTGGGGGGGAGACATGCCCTTCAAGCCCCTCAAACCCTGGGCCTTGGACCTAAACTCTTCAACTAACAGTCACCAAGCTCCGACGCCCTCAGCAGGGAATGCAGGAGTGGATGATGGCAACTTCCATGGGAACATCGGGGAGTACTATCCCCTCATTTGGCCCTTCATGGTCCGAACACTTCGTTGGAGCAAGCATCTTAACCAGGAGAGTCGGGGGACTGAGCAATGGCGTTCGCCTCCCATTTGCTAGGCTGTTCACTGTTTTGTTTGTCGTTTTGCTTATTTGGCTGCTGGGAGGCTAGTCTATTGCCATCCTTCCGACTACTTCTTTGGGTTCCTCAACAGCCTGGCTCAACAATCAACCATCCCAAGCATTCCCCTTTAACTCGCTGGGCGTTAAATTCTTTTGGCCCTCCAAGTGAAGCCAAGGTTTCGTTACATCTCCCTTCAAGCAGTCAGGCTTGCTGGGGTTATCCTTCCAAGAATAGTTGGTTGCTTGCTTTTGAGTCGCTAGGGATCCAAGTACACAAATAATGCCAACATTGGCCCCTAAAGACTACAAATATTACCTATGTTGGGCTATTTGGATGCCTAGGGATGGGTTTGATTCAATCTTGCGTTTCTGCCAAAAAGCGCATTACATTCAAGATCAGGATTTGTCTCGTCCCAAACCTTACAGGCCTCCTACCAAAGCTCACTGAGGCTTTTCCTCGCGCGTAGGTTGTATGGCCTCAAGCCTGTTGGGATTCATTTATGTAGAAATGTGGCGGTTGATCTGGACATTTTCTAGAAGGACTGGACTATGGTAATTCGAACCCCCTTACAATTATACCATGAATCTCCAAGTGAGCCAGTACACAGCAACTCTTTAGTACTCCTCTCCGAGAGGGCTTTCCCCAAATTGTGGTGATGCAGACAACTAGCGTCTGGAGTTAGAGTGTTGCTAAAGCCACAGTATCCTCACTGCTTCACTCCCCGCCAAGCAAACAGCAACCTCTAGCACTGATCCTCACTTCAGGCTTTAAGTACCGCTACTGCTACACCCGGCGAGCCGGCAAGAAGAAGCGCAAAGGTTTCCGCTGACTATGGCCTGGCTTGTAGGGTATCGGATAAAGTTCCATGTGGGAGTTTCTGAAACAGGGATTTTGGAAAGCCAAAGTTGATATTTGGAGACTCATTGGTAGCTATGAAGGGGCTTTGGGAGAAGTATACGTACTGTAGGCAGACAACGCAGAGCTGCCGCAGTTTTTTGAAACTACCACGCCCCACATTATGATTCAGGCCTGTCGCGAGGCTGATGAGATGACGAAAAGAGCCGCTTGCTGGACTGATGGCTCCGGGTCTAAGATAAGTTGGATTATGTTGAGATGACCGCAGCTACGTTTAATGTGCTCAACCTGAAGCTCCTTAAAGGTGAACGCAGATGATCACGTTGAAGCAATTTAGGTGGGGAGTTGCCATGAGGGACAGCACGAAAGCTCCATGCATTGCCCCTAGAACAGCCAGAATATCATCTACCCTAATATGCCCTACAATGCCCTAATGTACTATAAGAATCCTTGATTTGCTTATCAGCATGATAGATATCACCAACATCATCATCCAAGTTATCCTCCTCTCCAGCGCGTCCTCCTCCAAATCATCAGCTATCCCCATTCTGAAGCAAGAAGCCTGAAATTGCCTGATTGCAGGGAAGCTCTCGAGATGCATTTGAGCTGGAATCACATTAGTCGCCGAAGCCCTATAAACCCTAAATAGTAGTTTCCATTTTCTTTTCCATTATCCCAATATTACCTCAGTAAACTATAGTAGTTTCCACTTTACCTTCTATTATCCCAATAGAACCCCAAAAAAACTATAGTAGTTTCCTTTTTCCATTATCCCAATATTACCCAAACCCTTAACCCTAAACCCTATATAACACCATTGTAGTAGTTTCCATTTTATTTTGCATCATCCCAATGTCACCCCCAGATAGGCCCCAACCCCAAGTTGCCAAAAGGGTATCGTTGCAAAATCTTCCTGCAACTGAGCTTTGAACTCGTTGACCTATAATGAGTATCCTTGTCACAACTAACCTGGGCTGAAGCCGCTGAAGCCTTGAAATCTGAGGTTCGCTGACTTAAAAAAAACCTAGACCCAACGTCTGAGCGCTGAACCCTCGATCTTTCATGGGAATCGAAGCTACTAAAGATCAAGTGATGAAGCAACCAGCAACATACCAGAGCAGGTGCCACAAAGCTTTATAGAACACAAGATGATCGTTTTAGACCAGAAATCAAAAGGCCAAGCGGGTTTGGGGTTCAGGCCGAATCAATTGGGAGCGCCTGGAAATATGGCGATCCTCAGGCCCAATTCTTAAGCCCAAAGTCCCGCTACCCAAGCCCTAAGCCCGGAAGCGCCCTATCTTTAGGCTTCCTTTTGGTTAGCCAAGAATGAGGGGCTGGATCCTTATAGTTGTCCTTGTAAAACCCATTATAATAGTAGCTTCCATTTTCTGATCCATTCTTTCACTCTCAGCTAACCAAAGGCCAGCAGGTAGTGACGGGAAGCTTCTTGCCCCCTTTGCCAGGGGGAGCGAAATTCGGTGGCTTGGAAGCTGCGAAACGCTGCAGATGGCGATGACGAGCTGGTGCCTGGGTATAGTTCCCCTTAGGTAGATAGAATATGGCTTTGGGTATATTAACAGAAGATCCCCATATATCTCACATTCTATAAGGGGGACTATATTGTGTAGGGTGCGGAAGGATATGGGGCTTTGGTTTAGGTGGCTTTGGAATTTGAAGGGTTTAGATTGTCTAGGTGGCTTTGGAGGTGGCCGTGAGTGGGGTTGCAGTCACCAGGATTCATCTGAACTTTGCTTATCCTGCGTATTGAAACGCAATTCAACCTGCTTCCAGACCTCCAATCATTGCAAGTTGACTGAAGCATGTTGCCAAAGCACCGTTCCGTGTGATTCTACATCCTGAACCCCGAGCCCCAGAACAGTTTGAACATGAGCTAATCCCCCATAGTCCTACAGTCCTACAAAAAGCGACTCTGGAGGCAGGCGTTTTAGGCTTAGAGAATAATCTACAGGCTGCGGCGTGTCGACGCTAGCGGTAGCACATGCGTGGTTGTGGGCTGTGGGTCAGCCTGGGGCTCTGTCGCCTCCCCATGTCCACAGCAGATGGGCCAAAGTTAGAACTTCTGATACCTCCCGGTTGGTGGATCCTTCTTTCAAATGGTTGTGATGGCTACGTATTCGGCGGGCCGGGAGTTTTGAATGGGCTCATCCCCTTCAGAGCACAACGCTCAACGGTTTCTAGTCTTTGGAGCCTCTAATCCAGCACCAACCCCATTTTGGCTTGTTGGCGCAACATAATTTGTCCGCACCCTAACCAGCCCAGGCCAGAATCGTCAAACAATGCACATTGCCTGAATTGGAATGGTAAATGTATCGGGAAAACAAAGGTCCGTCTCGGGGACAGAAATGATCGAATATTCCCTCCGAAATGAATACCACCTTTACTAAGCTGGTCCGGCTATCGCTCATAAAGAAGGGGCCCCCTTGAACCGCTACATAGCAGGATCCTTGCCATGCGACGACCCCCAAAACGGACCCAGGCTCTTGAGAACCCCCGTCTCAACATAATGAAGGAGAGGAGGGGTAAAGATTGTCTCGCCGTTGGTCAGCCAGCAATACAGAATCAGAGGAGAAGAGGGAGGGGATAGGGTTTGGGTGGCAGACATTCCTTCTTAGGGTCTGTTCCGAAGCACTATAGGCTTGTTGATACTTCCACTATACTTTTCCATTGAACGACAGCAGGAGTCATAGTATGACCTACTTGTTCTTTCAGGCGGAGAAGCCCCCCTCACCCCGGCCTTCTTTTTGAAAACCATGAGCTCTACAGCAATCCCCTATATAGCCCTACAGAATATGGTAGTTTCCATTTTTATTTCCATTACCCCTATATAACCCCAATAGACACCCTATAATCCCTACATTATCCACTATAGTAGTTTCCATTTTCTTTTCCACCATCCCTATATAACCCCAATATATACCCTAAACCTTACATAACACCTATAATCCCTGTAGTTTCCATTTTCTTTTCCTTTATCCTTATATAGCCCCAATATTTGTAGGATTCAGCCAGAAAGAAGCAGTCTCGCCGGCGCGAGAAGCGCACCGGCAGGTGGTAGCAGAGCTGTTGCGGCGCCTCGGTGATGAGCTTCCAAGCTGCAATCATCGGAATTGGGTTGGAGACCTTGACACAATTACTATAACTTACTATAATATACTATGATATACCATAATGGGGGTAACAATTCTAACCCCGAGCCCCAACATTTGGTGCAAGTGGGTCCCCAGGAGAGCACATAGCCTCTCAAAATACTACTTGCTGGCTCACCTAAGGAGTGGCTTCCTGAACAGAGCATTCCTGGTTTCGGGGCTACAGATTGTCTAGCAGATACTTCGGCTGTTCTAGGCATTCCTCTAGCCTGTCTTCATGATGCCCATAAAGCCTGCTACAAATGCGCGTAAACGAGTTGTTCACTGCGGGTTGGCAAAATAATGGGAGATTCTGATTAGTAATCCACCCCCTCCCCAACAAGTATGATTCTAAATCATCCAGGGCGGCCCAATCAAAGCGGTCTTGTCATAGTACCCCTCAGCAGAAATGATTGCCTGGCTGTTCGAACAAGCTTGAGCCCTGAACCTGCAAGTATTCACACCATTCCGAAACTTCGTGGAAAGCCATCCGAAATAGGTTCATGCTCTCTGAAGGTTCTACATGCATCCTTATGTTAAGGGTCAGGGCGCACTGGGTGCAGCAGCGCGAGCTGATATTCATTCTTAGGCTACTTACAGAGATGCAGCTTTACTGCCTGCATCCCCGCACCTCCAAATAGACTACTCAGACCCTCCAGTGCCTCCCAAAACCTGCGCCTAGATCCCGGCCCTATGGCTCAAAACCTCAGCGCCTGGCCATGAGCTTGAAACCCCAAATGTTTGAGCTCATCCCGGGAAATCCTGCTTGAAGGCACCCACCGGTTCGCCGTGCGGCCGCGCGCACTCTGCGCGAGGTGGCGGGTGAACTTCCTGCTTGTTAGCGACGAATTAGTAATCTCTGTTCAGGTAGGTGAGCTGGGTAGGGGTACTAACAGCAGCAGGGATAGGGGAAACCAATAGCGTCATAGCCTGAACACTTCAATCCATCCTGCCCTCCTGAACTGTGATCGGTTGAGAGTTCAGGGGTCTCTCAGAACAGTTTTTGCTCAGTGTTGTACAGGGCTTCAAGAGCCCACAGCTGATACTCTTGAGCCACCTTTCTCCAGGCATATTCTCGTCGTTGCTATGTCCTTAAGCCCAAGCTCTACATCCCGAGCAGAACATGCCTTCAGCCCCGGCTGCCGACCTCTAGCATACTCTATACAAAGTTGAAAGTGGCTGCTTGGAAGCTCTGACGGGCGCGACCTACCAGTCTGTCAAGAAGAGGACAGCTTGCATTTTAGGATGACTCCTTGAACTGGACAGACTTCTCTCGTGTCCTACCACTCCTCAAGTCCAGCTTGTGCCAACACTCCGCCCCCCTACCATTCAGGGCCAACGTTGCGCAGCCATAACGCAGAAATCAAGGAAGATCTCAAAAACCGCGGAGAAGCAAATTTCGTGCCCTCCAGAACCCAAGTCAAACAACACGAGTGCAGCCGAAGTCGGTTTCAACACGTTCATGGTCCCTTGAGCAGGTCGTTTGCTTGCTTCGTAGGCATGGAAACATACATGGGCAGAATAACGGGTTCCACTTGACATTCGTTCGGCCGGCCGCTCGTCATGCTGCGCATTTGGAAGATATCGGGGGAGGAGTTGCCGTCTCTTGGCATTGAAGAGGTCCGTCACATGGAAGTTGATAATGTCGCTGACTTGAAGCGTGAATTGCGCAGGCTGCATGGCTTTCCAGTTTGCCTGCAGCAGTTGCTGCACAACGGAAATAGCTTGGATGATTCTACTCGGCTTGATTTGCCCATCGACTTGCAACTTGTTCTGCTGCCTCTTTCCGGTGTCAAGCCGCAGCATCAGGCTTCTGCTGAGTTTGTTTATGTTTGTGAAGACGGCATGCTAGAGGTCGCAAGGATGCTGTTGGAAGCTGGTGTAGACAAGGACATGGAAGATGAGGATGGGCGCACAGGTCTGATGCTGGCAGCTCGTTCCGGCCACAAAGAGATTGCCCAGATGCTGTTGGAGTCCGGTGCCTGTATGGATGTCGAAGACCATGGACCCGAATGGACAGCTCTCATGCACGCAGTTGTCCATGAGCATACGGAGCTGGCGCAGTTGTTGTTGGAAGCTGGCGCTGAGAAGGATTTGCAGGACTGTGAGGGCTCTACGGCTCTCATGTGCGCTGCTGGCAGCGGGAACGTGAAGATTGTGCTCCTGCTGTTGGAAGCAGGTGTTCGCAAGGACATGCAGGATTTCCTTCAGGAATACACAGCGCTCAGGTATGCAGCTGGCAACGGGCACATGGAGACTGTGCAGCTGCTGTTGGAAGCTGGTGCCAACCCAGACTTGCAAGATTTGGCAGGTGGCACAGCTCTCATGAACGCAGCTGACTGGGGCCACGTGGACATGACTCAACTGCTGTTGAAATCTGGTGCCGACAAGGACATGCAGGATCAGTACGGCACGACAGCTCTCATGCATGCCGCTAGCGGCGCTCGCGTAGAGATCGTGCGCTTGCTCTTGGAAGTTGGAGCCGAGAAGGATTTGCAGGACGAATGTGGCCGCACAGCTCTCATGCACGCAGCTGACGCGGGCCACATGGGCATTATGCGGATGCTGCTGCAAGCCGGTGCTGACATGCATTTGCAGGATGTCAATGGCTGCACAGCGTGCATTCTGGAAGCTGACGCGGGTCACGTAGTTACTCCATCAGGGCAGAAGCAGCTTGAGCATGATGTCAAAAACAGCGCAATTCTATTGGCATGTTTTGCAGCACGCTGATGACAGATAGCCTTTCCAGAGAGTACCAGAATGTGTTCCATCCTACTTGCGAGTGCCCGTCCTTTCCAAACCCTCAACCCGTGCGCGCTCATCGCAAGCCGCTGCAGCATGTGTGTAGTCAGCTGCCGGCGGACAGTTTTGTGGAGTATTCAGGTCGAAGTTCGCAAAGTCAAGATGTCCTTGTTTCAGCAGAACCGTGAAGCGGTCTCCTACATCAAAGCTCCACCCCAACCACCGCGAGGTCGTACCCCGCGAGGCGGAGGTCGTGATTCCTTTGCTCATCTCCCGGGTAGGTTGGCCGAGACCCCAGAGGAGGGTCAGACTTCACCAACAACTGCATGATCGTTTTTTTCACGTCAACTTCATATGGTGCGCACGGTATTGAGAAGAATGCCCCAGGGGTTAAGCTTGAGGTTGGGAATCGTTCACATGGGGTGGACGCGTGGCGTTTCAGCACTTTTTGTAAGTGTTGCAATCAACAGATCATGGACTCTGAGTACCTGCGAGACTTTGGCTGCCCTGCCTGTGTCCATGGTTGAGGGTCACCTATGGGTTTTGTGCCGCCTTACGCAGAGCGGAATAAGAGATTGAGCGCTTAGAGCATAAAGGCATTCCTTGCGTCACCGCGCTCAAAAGTCAATCCCCTAGCCCCAAACACCTCAGCCGTCAATTTGCTTGAGGTGCAACCCCTGAATTGAACAGCTTCCTTCAAACATGAGGCATCTTTATGGGAGTCCTCAAGCATTTCCTCGCTCCAGTTGCATCATTGAGGATCTGAGCTTGGGCCCTGCTTGCAGGACGTTACCTTGTCCCTTCCTGTGGAGGGCACCGGTGGAGATCTCAAACTTAAATCTACCCTAAACCCTCGACCCGTAAACAGCCTGAATCAAACTGCTATGTCTTAAAGTGCAATTCCAGGAAATGCACGAGAAAATCTAACACTGGGCACAAGGACTCCTCAGCAAACCCCTCGGCTTAAGACACCAGCCACCTAATATGTAACCCCATGTCACATCCAAAAAACCCAAAGTAGGTTTTATTTGTAGACTGTCAGGGCCCAACGTAGGTTTTTGTGTGGATTTGGACCAGTAGAGTAAGGAGGGTAATTAGTTTGGTCTCCCGCACGAGAAGCTCAATCACGACATTCTACTGCAAGGTCCAACCCAGATGCCCGCGGGGAGCCTATACTGGGGCGTTGCTTTTTGGGCAGTCAGTGATGAGCTCCGTAAGGGATGCCCTGCGACATGATTTGGAGATCAAGATTCCTAGCCCAAGTCGTAACCCAGGTAGGATTCGGGTGTTGGAGTCAGTGTCAGGCTTACTTTACTGGTTCTTAGTAGGAGATATGGGAATACAACTCCCATATAAACCCAATAGAATATAATCCCTTGTCCCCTACTAAGAACCGAACATATTCTAAGTTACATCAGTCGGGGATTTTTGGCTTTGGGCTGCAAGAGAGCGTTGACTTAGCTTCAACGCGTACGACGTTGAAGGTGCACACATGGATGCGCCTCTACTCCACAACCTTTTCTTGCTGAGGTTTAGTAAGGAATAGGGGAAAGTATTATGTGGGATTTTTGGGATATTCCTGTATTCCCTACTAAGAGCCAGTAGGTTTTGCTGGAGACCAGAGTATGTGGGCTGCAGGCCTGAACTCCCCTCTCATTTGCAGGTCGCACTATTCTTCGCCTATGCAGAGACAGAGGTTTATGAATCAGTGTCTGTATCAGGCTTGTGTCTCAGCATAGAAGAAAACAGTTCTCGTCTGTATGCCAAATCAGGGAACATTGGCGCCTGAATGCCCTTCCCATGCAAAGGCATTGTTTTTTTTTGCGCACGCCCAGCCAGGGGCAGTGTGGCGTTTGCGTGATGCCCGCTACGTGTAGAGGATCCATACTCAAGTGTGGTACTCAAGTGTGGCGTTTGCGTGATGCCCGCTACGTGTAGAGGATCCATACTCACATGGACAAGCAGCTCTTTTGGGTTCCACTGCAGCCAGCAACCAGACGATTTTTGATCCACTTTCCGACACGTGGCTCTCCACTGTGCCATGGGGGAAAAGGTTTTGGGACACGAAATGCGCTATGGGATAAGTCGCTGTGCTGTGCGGTAGCGGCGCGAAATCTTTTTCGAGATACGAAACGACATGCGCTTGCAGTTGTTGAAGCAGTCCCTCCAATCCCAAACTGACCGCTGTGCTTCCTTCAATGATGCAGATGGTTCCTCACGATTTGTTAGCAGCCGCATAAGTTCTGGAATGACTGCGACTATGTAACCCCGCATTTTACTTGTCGCATGCGCATGCAACACACACCGACTACAGTATTTTTGCACCCCTGTGAAGCCTGATCTACCCCTAAACGTCAACTCCTAAATTCAATCCTAGACACCAAACCGTGTGCCCCACACCCCTTACACCTTTAAACCCTCTAAACCCTCAACCCACCATATGGTTTCCATAAAATGGGGGAGCAGCAATTTAAATTCCACATACATCAAGCCTTACTCTGGGGACCCTCCCAAATGGACCTGAAATTGTTGGAAACCCGCAGATATGTGCATGAACCTTCAGCCCTAAACCCTGAGCCTTAAACCGTAAACCCTAAAGACAAAACAGAGGCCTTGAAGTTGTCAGCGCTCTGCAGCACTTTGCCGAGCGCCAGGGCCTTGGGGGAACAGGCGCTCCGGGAAATACGCTACTATAGTATATTGGGTTTATATAGGGGTATACCTAGGGATAATGAAAACAAACTGGAAACTACTATTTAGGGGTTGAGGGTTCCGGGGTTGGGATTTAGGGTTTGGCATGTTTACGCTCTGGAGTTTATGTGTTTACTAGTTGGGGGCAGTTTGGGGGGCCTGTTTCCTCACAGCCTAGCCATGCCAGCGGGGCTTGCAAATGTAGAGTCCGTGGGTTCGAAGGCTTCGGGAAGGTTTGACGCCCCTCCTGCTTTTTTTTTGTTTTTAAGGTGTCCAGCGCCCTATGTACATGGGTGGTTGTCAAAATTATGATCCCTTTTGGGGTACCCTAAATATTAGATGCCGTATTATACTAGGGACCCAAACAGGGACCATAATTTTGACAACCACCCA